ACGTAAATTAAAACGTCCTTTCGAAGCGGGCGATGAGATTTCAATTCCGGCTGTCGACAGCTTCTTACGGACGACCCTCAAATAATCTCTAACTCTTTTTTTTAGTGCCAAAAATGCTTCATTTGACTTTTAAGAGAATTGGAGGATTTCAGATTGTTCTGGGTAAATGATGAATGTACTGTTTTGGATTCAGAAGTTGTAGTGAGACCCTTAAGAGCGAAATATTTGGCCAAAGGGTTGGATGCAAGTTTCCCATGGAGCTTCAAACAGTTATCACGAGTGTGGTTGGGCTTGTGATAATAATCACAAGTGGGGTGACCAACTTGGGGTTGAGCACTGTTAAAGACCAAGCTGAATACTTCGACGAATGGAGTGGACGCACTGAGCATGACAAGTCTCCTGCTCTCTTCGCTACGAATCTCAGTGAAAGCAACTCGAGTAGAATGATGAGGATATCGACCAAGGATGCAACCGTGGACTTCATCAAGATATTTGTTGAGGCCTGTAAAAAATTTGAACATGCAGTCCTTTTCGACACTTTTCTGGAAGTGAGATGGGTCGGCTGGAGATTTCTTGTATAGTCATAATACAAGTCGCATTTCATCCATAATGCAACTACATCATTGTAATACTAGGTCACGGTCCTCGATTCTTATTTTCCCTCACGGATTTTCTTAAAGATTTCATAGAGTTGACTGGAATTCCCTACATCTGAGCTTATATCACGTACTGCCGTTAAGGGGGCACTAGTAGAAGGAAGGAACATATATGATTGGCTAATAGAAGTCTCCATGAAGTTGATAGCCACGACATGACCACGAAATTCTCCAATTTCTAAGCTCCATATGCTGAGTCAGTCTTTGGAGGTTCACGAATACACTAGTGAGATGATCAAAATTTTCACACCCTTTGATGAAAAAGGACATAGATTGAGACCATTGGAAAAAAGTTACTTTCGTTTAGTTTATGGATTGTAATTAAGAAGTTCATGTTTTTTTCTTGTCCTCTGATCTACAGAGAAACCAACCCATAGATTGGGACCATTGGAAAAAGTTACTTTCGTTTAGTTTATGGATTGTAATTAAGAAGTTCATGTTTTTTCTTGTCCTCTGATCTACAGAGAAACGGTGGTTGGAATTGATCCTTCGGTGGAATCAAGAACATTATCTGATGACGACTCAGTGCTGGAGTAGTCTGCTATGGCTCTGATTGATCAAATGAGATTTTAGGTTGTCGAGACATCGTAAAGTTTTGGTTGCTTGTAAGAATATTGCCTCTGGAAGGGTTCCTGTTAGATCTGGTAAGTTGGAAGGTGCCCCAGGTGGCCATAACAGAGGTTCTAGATGGTAGATCCTAAACAAAATAAAGGGAAACCTAAAATAGTGTGGGAATTCCAGCTGATGGGTCTGTCAGATCCTCAGTGTTGGGAACCTATGACAAATCTGAAGCAATGTGGGAACCTGTGACATCCTTCTGAAGTAGTGCGGGAATTTGCAATAACCTGAGGTAGTGAGGGAACCTGAACAATATGGGGCCTGAATAGGGAGGCAGAAGTTCTAATGTTGGGATCAGACCTAGCTGGCTACGAGGAGAGCTCGACAGCTAGGTTAGGGCCATGGCTTTGAAATAATGTTAGAATAGAACCCAAGTTAATTCTTATTGATGCAAAGATGTGTATAAATATCAATTACAAATTACAAGATCTACTAGTAAGGAAACAAATAAAAATAAAATAAAGATAAAAAGGAAAGTAAATAAAAGCAAATCAATGCAATTAATACATAAATCTGCATATTAATATTCTCATATTCTAATAAAAGATCACCATTCTCTTACAAATCTTTTGTTCAAAACTTGGTTAATTTTCTTGTTCTAAATTCGATCCAAGAGGCCTTATCTATTTCTTCTTGGAAAAAGGTTATAGAAGAAGAGGTTCTTGCCCTTGAAAAAAATGGTACCTGGATCATAATAACTTTGCCACCCGGGAAAAGAATTGTAGGGTGCAAATATATATTCACTGTTAAATACAAAGCAGATGGGAGCATAGAAAGGTTCAAAGTTAGACTTGTAGCAAAGGGTTCATTAACCTTAACGGATGACTACTCGGAGACATTTGCACAAGTGTGGAAACTTAATTCAGTAAGGGTATTACTATCATTGGCAATCAACCATGATTGACATTTACATCAGCTAGATATTAAAAATTCATTTCTTAATGGGGAGCTTGATGAAGAAGTATATATAGAGATGCCTGCACTATTAAAGAACAACACAAGTAATCAGTTAGTGTGCAAAACTAAAGAAATGATTTTATGGGTTGAAAATATCTCTCAGAATATGGTTTGAAAGGTTTACCAAGACTCTTCTTGCTAATGAGTACTATCACTATCAGTGTTAGGTTGATCACAATTTGTTTGTGAGATCAAATCAAGAAGGCATGATAGCCATGTCATTATATATGTAGATGATAGTGTTCTTACAAGCAATGACATAAGGGAACTTGAAACAATAAAAAAATAATCACTTCCGAGTTTGAGATCACAGATCATGGATCTTTAAGATACTTCCTGAGAATGAAAGTAGCTAGATTAAAAAAAGGCATTGTCATATCCCAGAGAAGTATATTCTTGAATTATTAAAGGATACATGAATGTTGGGATGCAAACCAATAACAACTTCTATGGATCCCAAGCAACGAGCATTAAAAGGAGAGGATAAACACCCCAATTGAAATAGAATGGTATCAAAGACTTGGGAAATTGATTTGATCTGACATATACAAGACCTGACATTGCCTTTTCTGTGGGTGTAGTGAACCAACATATGAACGATCCAAATGAAGATAATTTAGAAGGGGTCTTTCGAATCCTGAGGTACATAAAGATGACTCCAGGACATGGATTGTTATTTAAGGAGATTGAGAACTGTGACTATGAGATCTACACTGGTTTTAGTTGGGCGAGAGAACTGATTAATAAAAGATCTATCACAACTTATTGTTTGTTTGTACGAGGTAACCTTGTTACTTTGAGAAGTTAAAAGCAAGCTGTGGTGGCAAGAAACATTGCATAATTTGAGTATTGTGCTCGACCCTAGAAATTTGTGAAGAGATGTAGCTAAAAAAATTACTTCTGGAACATCACATGGAAAACCAAAGCATTATTAAGATGTTCAGTGATAGTGAATCAGTCATCATTATTTCAAAAAATCCATTATTGAGATTGACAAACACTTCATCTCTGAGAATGTCAATAGACGGTTTGTTTAACTAAGCTATATCCCAACTTAGTGTTAGATTACTGACATTTTTACCAAGACTTCTCCTCGACACCACCTTAATGATCTCAACAGTAATTTTGGGATGTATGATATATAACAAACCCATTTTGACGGGGAGTGCTAATATGCATATCTGATTTAGGAAACCATAGGTTCGCTATTACATTTGAGGGAGAATTATTCTCCCTTAATTATCCATTATTGTATTTCTTTTTCTTTCTTTTTTTATTATGATGATATAATTTCCCTCCAATTGTATGAAGGTTAGCCTAAGCTGTATATATATTTGTTATGTATTTAATAAGTAATTGAGAGAGTTTTCCCTCTAAAATGTACACTATATATGTACATCTTCCTTTAATATTTAACTGATGCAAGGCTTCGATCTTGAGGGGGGCGGTTGCTCCCCTCAACATTCACACCTACTATTTTTGTGTTTTCATTTTTTTTGTTGTTTTTTATGTTCTTTAAGTCCTATTGTGTTTTTAGGATGCGTTTGGGGCGGCAGTGCGGTGGCAGTGCAGTGTCGCATCGCAGTTTTACTGTTTGACAAAACAACATTTTGCCTTCGTTTTTAAAAAGTTACAACTGAAGATTGCGTTTTCCCACCACGACCGGCTACCTGTGGTGACTGCTAGAAAGCTGCGGTCTGATTTTTTGCAAAATGTTTTTTTTTTTTTTTTTGTAATAGCCACCGCAGTATTTTGAACAAATATCTTCAGCAACTTTACAATTCTTTTTTCAAACAGTTGCAGTTGGCCTAAAATGTGGCTTGGCTGAGATGAGTCAGCCTAGAATTTTACCTGTAGAATTTTACCTGCAGTTTTTTCTTTTAACCGTCTAGTGGTTTGACTGTCCTCAAATATTTTCTACTCTTTATGATATTGTGGTAAAGAGTATTTTTTTCTCTAATCCAAATTCCTATCATTGTTTCTAGTGAATCTTTTGACTCTGTTTGCACATTGTTTCATAGCTCTAATATTGAACAATTATTAGAAGGGATAATTTTCAATTGTGCATCTTGTCCTTTTTATCTTCATTATCCTTATCTGAACTATTTGTGATCAGTTTCATGAATTCTCATTTTCCTTTTGTTTTTCACTCTCCAATAAGTTTATTGTACCACTTGTCGGTTTAATTCCTTTATGGTTATTAGTGTAATTTTTAATATCTTTGTTCTTAAATATTAGCATTAGATACTTCTTTTAATTATTTTGACAACTTAATCTTCAAACTCTTTAAAGCATTCCATTGGAAGGAATAATTTTCAATTCTTAGTACCTATGCTCATTAATTATGATTCGTAAAGGAGCTTCTATTATAACCATTTTGGAAGTTGTGTAAATGACTAAACTCTAGAAGGCCAGTGAAACATAGCAAATTGCATGAACCTTCAGGGTTAAGAAGGAAGAGAATATGTTAGATACTCCTTCCATTGTTATTCAGCCTTTAGATGAAAGAGGTGAGTCTTTTCTACGTTTTGTAAATTATCATTACAAATTATTTTCCAACAAGTTGAACTATAATTGATGGGGGAGGAGACTGCTGGGAGGAGAAGAGAAGAAGATTCAATTAACAACTAAAAGAACATGAACCCTGTTATCATTCATTGAAAATTGATGTTTTTATTTTTAGGTGATTATATATTCCCATATTGATTTTCTTAAAGAAAAGATTTCATGAAGCTTCAAGAATAATTTTTTCACCATTAAATTGTGCAGATTGGATCTTATCATGCAACATCCTTACTTATTTGTTTAAGGCCTCCGACGCCTGGAGTTGTTAGCAGAGGTATAGGACTGGAAGGACTTTCAGGAATTCTGGCTGGACTTTGGGGAACTGGTACAGGCTCAACAACACTGACAGAAAATATTCATACCCTAGATTCCACGAAGATGGCGAGCAGAAAGGCCTTGGCATTTGGAGCACTCTTTTTGGTCCTTTTCTCTTTTGTCGGTATGAACTTTAGAACCCATGCAGTTATTTTTCCACTGGGCATAAATTTTTTTTTTGGGAATATTTACATACATACCACTCAATTCCAATGTATTTACATATCGAGTGAAGTGTCAAAATAGTCCCTTGGCTTATTACATGGAGCCATTTTAGTCTCATAATCTATAAAAATATCAAATTTATTCCCAGACTATTCTAATAGGTGTTAAAATAATCCTATTTGGGAACTATTTCTGAAATAACCTCCTGCAAAGAGTTTGTGGGCGATTTTGACACTTTTCTCTTTCCATGTCTAACACCTTAACTTTAAGTTTTAAATATATGACACCTTTCCTATGCATGAAAAGGTGCATGCCACTTTTTAACAGTCAAAATAATGATATTTTTTATGTGCTGAAAGATTTGTGTGGTATAAATGTAAAAAATAAAGTTTAGGTGTTTGATATGTAAATACAAAGGAATTGGGTGGTGTATGTAATGCATACTTGTCCTATCCACATGGATTTCCTGCATTGAGAGAACAAATTTGCATAAACCGATCATATGTGTAATCTACTTACCCAAAATTATTATTTACATGTCTATTATATTTACTTATAATATTACATCCTAATTTGTAAATCACATAAAATATACCACTATTATTAACTTATTTAAAGTTGAATGCAGTTTTGTATGAATATGTCGTTATATAATTTGGACGCTAGGATGCTATATAAATAAATATCAAAATTTAGATGATAGATATATAAGTACATACAAATTTTATGATATGTATGAAAATCCTACTTTTTTTCAAAAACAATTGATACCATCGTAATTGTAATTTTCTGATTTTACAGGAAAAGTGGGCGCTCTACTTGCTTCAATTCCTCTAGCATTGGCTGCTGCTGTCTTGTGCTTCACTTGGGCTTTAATTGTCGCGCTCGGCCTATCTACCCTGCGATATACGCAGTCTGCAAGCTCAAGAAACATGCTGATTGTTGGCTTTACATTATTTATCTCTCTATCCATTCCCGCATATTTTCAACAATACCCTTCGAATTCTACCCTCATTCTCCCAAGCTATCTTGTACCATATGCTGCCGCATCTGATGGACCGATAAATACTGGCAGTAAAGGAGTGAGTTCTAGCAAGCATAAATCACTAACAAGTTATTTTCCATAGTTCTTAATTGGAAGATTTACATACATACCACTCATTTTTCCAATGTATTTACATGTCGAACACTTAAACTTCATTTTTTACATACATACCACCTTACCTATGCATAAAAGGTTTATTTTTCTTCTTAAAAGTTTAAATGGTGGTATTTTTAACGTGGTATGAATGATTTAGGTGGTATAAACATAGAAAGTAAAGTTTAGGTGTCAGATATGTAAATACATAAGAATTGTGTGGTATGTAGGTAAATGGCCCTTCTTAATTTTCAGCCCAGTGAAACAACTCACTGCAAAACTTGAAACCATAGCACATTTTTGTATATTTTTTTCTCATGAAATTTTTTTTAGGAAGATTTACATACGTACCACTTAATTCCTATGTATTAATATTTCCAATATCTAAATTTCATTTCTTGCATATATGTAGCTTTAACCATGGATGAAAAGGTGTATTCTACATTTTAAAAGTAAAAATAGTGATATTTTTGATGTGATACGAATGATTTGGGTAGTATAAATATTAAAACTAAAGCTTAGGTGTTAGATAGTATGTAAAAATATAAGAATTGAGTAGTATCTATATATGTAAATGCCCCAATTTTTTATTTTTGGAAGATTTCCAGATAAACCGTTTAATTCCTATTATTTGCTTATCTTACTCCTAAACTTCATTTTTCACATATATGCCACCTTAATCATGTATGAAAATGTGTATTTCACCTTCTAAACGTTAAGATATTGATATTTTTGATATGATGCGAAAGGTTTGGGTGGTATGAATATAAAACATAAATTTTAGATGTGAGATATGCAAATGCATCTGAACTGAGTGGTATGTAGGTAAATGCTTCAATTCCTTATATTTTTTTTGAGGGTGTAGTTTGTATGTGCAGCTCAATTATGCTTTGAATTCTCTCCTATCGCTTAACATGGTGGTTGCTCTGTTGGTGGCATTTATACTCGACAACACTGTACCTGGAAGCAAGCAGGAAAGAGGGGCCTATATCTGGTCTTCTTCACAAGGATCTGACTTTGATCCGTCATCTATGCAGCCTTATCTTTTGCCAGAGAAAGTTGGGCGCCTCTTCAGGTGGGCTAAATGGGTAGGTTCTTAACTGCAACTGTTGATTGCTGAAAACTACTGCTCAACTGTTGGGTCATGCCTTTATATATTGCTGCTACTTTATTGGTGCTGTGCTAAATCTCTCTTTTTTATTTTTTTAATTTCAGTCATAGAAAATAGTATATTTTTTAAAAATGCATTTTTTTCTCTTATTTTGCTTTTAATTTTTTTTCATTTGTGGCTCGAAATCGAGGGTCATATCTTGTAAATTTTGAAGAGGTTATCACATTCATTAAATTTTTTGTGCAAAGTTGCAAATTGAGAATAGAAAAGCTTGCTTGTTGTTGTGGTGATTATTTTTTTGAAAAATGAAGATTTACATGGATACCATTCGATTCATATGTATTTACTTATCTGGCGTCAAAACTTTAATATTCACACATTGAAGCTGTATTTTTTATGAAAGAAAAGTATAGGTTTTACATATTGTTGCGTGCCTAAAGATTCATGGCGGTGGATAAATAATTTAATATTTTAGTGTTGTATGAAGATCTAACACAGATGAAAAAAAAAAATAGCATGAGACATTAAAATTTTTATGTGGAAAAATCTTAGAATGAAAAATAATTACGATGCATCTTAAGTAGGCCTGTCAAAACGACTCATTGTTCGCGAACAGCTCGTGTTCGGCTCGTTAAGAAGCTTGTGTCCAGCTTGTTAATTTTGTTCGATAAGTTAACGAGCCGAACACGAATTAAGATGTGTTCGTTCGTGTTCGGCTCGTTTTGACTCGAAATACTACTCATCAAGTTTATATA